ATTTATAGTAAGAGAATTTTTTTGGAATGAATTTGCCTTGATGATGTATCCATTATCCACTCTTCTATTTGTTCAGTTGGCTCAACAAGTTTTGGAGAGTTTAGATTTTAGAGCTATATTATTTGTAGTTTTGTTGTCTTTTATAGATACTAATGCTTCTGGGACACAATAGAGTTGACGGGTCAATTTATTTATGGTTAGCTTTTTTAGTTTGACGGAACCCTTTTGGAATGAGACGTGAAGGGTGCTTATTTAATTTCACACTAAATGCCAAGAGGAGACGATGAACATTTTTGTTTAAGATTAGTTGATATTTCAAGGGAATGTAAAAAATAAACGCACGCACGCACACACTTTTTTTGGTTTGGGTGTTGCGTTATTAGAGGCCTTTCTTTGGTACTTCTTTAGTTTAGACTTAAATGTAGAAATTTAATTTTTTTTAGCTTCAATGATTGGCTTACTCCTTAAGACAACTAAGATGATTTTGAAAGAGAATGGACGTAAAAGAAGAATTTTTAAAGTTTGACTTGTGTCTATCATCGTTGTCAACCTTTTTCTGAATACACTGCAAGAAATGCCTTTGAGAAGCCATTGTTGAATGGGGTGGCATATGCAGAGAGGGTTTAAATTCAGGAACGACGAATTTTAGTGGCAGCATGGGTGGACAATAAGAACAGTGGAGAGAGAGAGCCTTCACGAACCAACGACGAGAAGCTCCCGTTATATTTCTCAAGAAACTGTTTTCCTGTATTGACTCACTTGATACGATGTCAGGAGTGGTAACTGAATTATCTCATTGCTGAAGTGAATTCAATATATTTATATAGAACTTTTTCGATCATATACTGACTGAAAAATTATTATGGCTGATGCAAGATGGTGAAAACACAGTAAGGGCATGGACAACTGGTGAAGCAGTTCTTACGAGCCCCTTCATTCTGTTCATTCATTTTGGGTTGGTTTTGGGTATTAAGATGGAGAACTGACCAGTTATTGTTCAATTCTCTGTTCTAATAGCCAAACCTAACCGATTAGATTCCAATTATTTTTAGGTGAATGGAATATCTTGGACAGATTGTTTTGAACACTGATGGCATTTATACCCTTATAGTGTTGTGGTAGTGATTCTCATACAACCATGATTGATGGACTGGGTGTTGCTGGATAGAGTTGGAGAAATTGAAGCAGAAACGACAACGCTTGGCAATTTATTCTTGAACAATGATTTCACATATCAGAGGCAACAAGTTGACGGTTGGTCATTTGTGATGATTCTCTCACTTTTTTTTTAAAGATGAATTACTTCTTATTTTGCACTTTCACTTTGCATCACTGATTGGAAGTATAAAGATATTAGTGAGCCTGGCTCTGCCTGGTGGTGTTGATTTTAAGTTGTCTGGGAAAATGAAAGACAGGTTACTGCTACTTTTTAAATCGTGACCCAAACCCCTAACTCGTTCATTCACTTGCTTGGATTCAGTCTTGTTCAGTTTTGATTAGTTCATCAGTAGTTGGAAGGTGTTGAGAAAGCATTGTGCGGTCGGAGACTTCGTTCAAATTTATGATAACATCTCTTAACTGTAATTCTTGAAAAGTTTGTTTAGTTATTTTTTTTCTCAAGGTATTGATAAGAAGTGGGTGATGGTGAAGACATGATCAAATTTAATGGGGTATTCATCGACTCCTCTATAGTCTGAGAATCTAAACCAGTAGGCAAAATCCTCTGAACCCATGTCTGCAATTGCCCTTCTCCAGAAGGCAGCTCAAATGGGATGTACCATAGGCAATTCAACATTCCACAGAAACACTGTATGAGTACTGGATCCTTTAGCTTTTTCATCCTATTCCAGTTTAGTGCAAAACAAAAGTGAATTATACACGTACTCAAGAATTCAACTGGTAACCACTGATTCTATAAAAGGAGCTTCAAGTTTTAGCTCTTCAACAAGCACTTCAATCAAAAGCCTCCATCAGTCATTTCATCAAACTAGAACGCAAAGCCATCTAGCTTCAGTGTACTTGAATTCAGCATTGCATTTTTAGTTTATCCATAACTTTCATAGTTGATTTTTGTTAGGAAATTAGCATTTTCATCCTCATTCACATAATTTTATATGAAAGTTATTAATATTTATGTGATTTAGTTGCCTAAAATCCTGAAGATTTTTTGCATTGACGAGTTCTTTTGCAAATAGTCTACTAATGAAGTAGTGATTGTTCTAATTATAATGCAGATGAGTGCCTTTGCAGGTGGGAAGAATTTTTTTAGAAAATGTGGTTCAGAAAGGATCTACAGTACACGGCATGATTTTGATAAGACATCTCAGTTTAAATGGGATAAATATGCTAAGAACCTCATATTAGCCCCAAAATTGTGGCCATGGCGATAAAAGTTTCACCTGGTTTCTGGTAGGAAGGGTGGAAATGCTTCTCTATTTTTGCTTTGCAATTCCGATTAACTCAGTTTTGATTCGAAATTTCTCATAATGTCAAAAACTCGCTACAACTCGTGTTTATCATGCAGTATCGGGTAAGACTAAACTACAAAATAAGTGAGCAGGATTATATACTAATACTATACCAAATATGTTTTTAGAGTGTTAATAATGTTCCATCATTTACATTTATGCAGACTTGTGTGGTTAATTGTGTTTTACATGTCCTTTTGTTTGTTTTGTTCAATTTAGTACATTTTTCTCGAAACTTCTTTGAATCTTGGTTTACTTCATTTAGCTATGTCGAGCTGCTTTTCATTTCCTTTTGTTCAACCCTTGACTTGTTTTATGCCTTCCAACTACTAGTTTTTAAATTTCATTTCTTTTGACCATGTATGTCTTGAGCATTAATCTTGGAAATTGGGTACTTCTCCCAAGACTTAATGGTGGTCTTCGTTGAAGGATTGTGTTCTTTGAACCTGCTTATGATGTTACTTTGCAGAAATTCAAGAAATTTTTCTCATTCTAGTTTTGGTTTGTGTTACACTTGAAGGAGACCCACCCGCATGACAATGAGTTCCACAATCAATGGATAAGAATTAGAAAATCAGCGTTCATTTTTTTATAATTTTTTAGAACTTTTTGTTTATTGAAAAAACGTTAATTCTGTAATTGGAATTAGTTATTGTTGATTCTAGAGATTGGTAATCACAATTGTTTATTTGAAACATAGTCGATATTTTAATCTTAGTTGGCACGATTGACTCGTAAGAATTTGCAGCAACATTAATTTCTGTTCGTCCACCCATTTTTGTCTTCTAAATTAATAATTACAATATAGACGTGTAATTTGACCTTCAATTTTTCGACAGCCCTATAATTATTGAAATTTTGACTTCTTCAAACAAGATTATGAGGCACTATTTAAGTTTACTTGAGAAAACCATTGTAAACTTGTTCACACATTCCTTTAATAACAAATTTTTTTTTTCTCAAACACAGTACTTAATCTCTCCTAAGTGTTTTAAGTACGTTATCACAGGCACTTTATGTGCATTCAACTTACTAGTATTCCACACAAAACAAAGAATATTAGGCACCAGGCATCTTTCATCTGGATGAAGAAAGACGTCTTCTCCTTGTTCTGTTACGACCAACCAATCAAGATTAGTGAGCCATGTTTCATTCGTTCAATCTGCAAAACTGAGCTTGTACGACGATTACCTGCAAGGTTTTTAGTATCAACTTCCTAACAAAATGAAAAGTTTGGGACCACAGTCGCAACTTTCCCAAGAAATTTTTCTCATTCTAGTTTTGGTTTGTGTTACACTTGAAGGAGACCCACCCGCATGACAATGAGTTCCACAATCTATGGATAAGAATTAGAAAATCAGCGTTCATTTTTTTATATTTTTTTAGAACTTTTTGTTTATTGAAAAAACGTTAATTCTGTAATTGGAATTAGTTTTGTTGATTCTAGAGATTGGTAATCACAATTGTTTATTTGAAACATAGTCGATATTTTAATCTTAGTTGGCATGATTGACTCGTAAGAATTTGCAGCAACATTAATTTCTGTTCGTCCACCCATTTTTGTCTTCTAAATTAATAATTACAATATAGACGTGTAATTTGACCTTTAATTTTTCGACAACCCTATAATTATTGAAATTTTGACTTCTTCAAACAAGATTACGAGGCACTATTTAAGTTTACTTGAGAAAACCATTGTAAACTTGTTCACACATTCCTTTAATAACAATTTTTTTTTTTCTCAAACACAGTACTTAATCTCTCCTAAGTGTTTTAAGTACGTTATCACAGGCACTTTATGTGCATTCAACTTACTAGCATTCCACACAAAACTACGTTTCACTTACTGCTCATTATTGTTCTTAACGTGTAACTATCTGAGAATTTAAATATACTGATCCAGAGTTTTTCCAAGACTACGGAATAACTTTATTTTTATCAAGTACAAAATACAAATTCCGGGTTAACGCAACCAGAGCTAGCTGTTAAGCATCTCAAGACGAGAATTTCTATTAAAAAGTAACTTTAAATTACACCATATTGAAAAAGTATAAGCAAAATGTTTCTATTAAAAAGTAATTTCAAATGAACGCCAAAATTTTAGAAAAGCCTTGACTGACCAACATTCATATTGAATACACATTCCTGTATGATCTATCATTTATAGCTTATAAATAACGAGTAGGAAGTATACATGTTACTAAGGTCAACTAAATATAATGCCTGGCTCACACTTCTTCACCAAACAAGACGTACAACCAAAAACCGTAGACCGAGCTCTGAAGATTACAAAACAAAGAATATTAGGCACCAGGCATCTTTCATCTGGATGAAGAAAGACGTCTTCTCCTTGTTCTGTTACGACCAACCAATCAAAATTAGTGAGCCATGTTTCATTCGTTCAATATGCAAAACTGAGCTTGTAGGACAATTACGTGCAAGGTTTTTAGTATCAACTTCCAATGTTTTTCTTCATAGGAAGCCAAAAGAGAATTTTATACCAATTCCTTTATAGCATTGCTGCAGTTCTTGTCAATCGATTTTCTGTTGTTTCTTCCCAGCCTTTTTGTGCTTGGAATTTTTGAATGCGTTGTGAGGTCTAAGAATGTTCCCTTCATTTTTCTGCTTCATTTTTGTCCTCTCCGTATTTTTCCTTGCACCTGTTTTACCTCCTTGAGGTTGGTTTGACTTGCCCCTTTTGAGATGATCGTGATTAAAATCTCCAACTCTCTTAAATGACTTCCCAGCATCCTGTATCTTGTCCCTCGTCCTTTTCGGACCTCTGGAACCTTCTTCCTTTGATGAAATTGCAGATCCCACAAATTTCCGTTTCTGGTGCCTGGAAGAAATACAAGTTCAAGAATTATCAAGAATGGTAATCTGAGCAGTCTGGATGACAACAAAATAAAGAAGTAATTTGCACGAGAATTTGTACCACTTGGGAGTCGAATCTGAAATTTCTGGTCTACTCTCTGTGGTTTCAGCTACCTTAGAACTTGTCTTTCCATGCCGATTCTGCCAAACAAGAATAATATTGTGAACATTGTGGATTTATAGCCAGGAGATGAAAAGAGAAAAAGATAATGCATCTATAAACAATCACAATCACAAAATTTGCAGCACTCGAGCATGTAATGAGGCCATCCACACTACATATGGTCTATTAATAGTAACTGTTCAATGTTAAGAAAAAAACCGATCAAGACATTAGCTTATTGGAGAAAATAGCCGGTGCACAATCGATCAAGTATCACTAAGCGTATCAAGAACTAGAAACATAAAATTAGAGAGCTGAGGGAAAGGAAGAGAAGACTACCTCTATAACACCTAGGACAAAATGCTTATATTTTTCAGGTACGAGAGCCTTAATTGTTCCAGAACCTGACTTCCTCATCATGATCTCCAATATGACTGTAATCTGTAGTTGAAATGATAGGAGCATATCAATAATACTCTAGCTAAGGAAGGGAAAAGTGAAGATAAAGCAGGATGTGCATTGTGCTAGCAGTGACTGTAGATCAACATATATGGGACATTAGCCACCCCTAAGATGAAGTCCCCAACATTATCCCAAAGTAAATCTCATCTCAAACCCATATTTTTTTTTCAAACACTTCTGTGAATCCTAAATGATCCCAGTCTCCCACGTCACACTCATCTGATACCTGTTTCTGGACAAGTATTCATGGGGAGTGCATACACATCTATATGTTTTAAAACAATTGAGTGAAGAAAGATGATAAATACTCCTAAGAGAAGAATAACAATTGGATGTCTGAAAGATATCAAAAGGCAGAGGCAACAGTCCATTAAATCAAAAGATAAAAGAAATCATGGCATGGCCGAATGGGGTATGCTCAATTCATAAAGTAAAGATCCGGATGCATCACACCCTAACATAAAAGCAGATAAAACTTTTCTTCACTCCAACAATGTCAGATTTCATCCCGTTTCATTCCACTTGAAGATGGACATCAGAAAAATATTTTTCCAACTCAATGTTGTACAAACATTCAGTCTAGAAGTCAGAATAGTGTAAAACCTAATAAATCGCGCACCTTTGATCTAAAATGGTGGCGGGAGATAGATGACCAAGGAAGAATTCCATTGACAATGTCACAGAGGAAATGTTGCAGGTCATTGGCTTGAAGACATGAAACCAATACTTTCACAAAGCCCAAAACAGCCTGTTTAATTCAGATCCACTGTATCATAAGGGCAAAAAAATGAAAGAAAAATAAATCGAATTGAGAGTACAGGAAAAACTCACTTTTGTAACCTCAACAGATTTGCTATGTAGCAACTCCAGAACTGAGGGGACTATATCAGGCATCAAAAGACAGATGTTTGGGTCATTGTAAACGAATACTGAGAGTGCAGCCACCACTCCACTCTTTATATGGGGAGATGAACCAGAAAGATATCCCATGATCTGGATATAGCAACATAATCATAACTTCAAGAGACATGATAATTATATTTAGAGAAAAATCGTACAAAACGTTGCAATTGTGTTTCCATTAGCCCGTGCTTCCCTTCTATCGAAGGGCAATCAGTGGGGAAAACTTATTATAATTACACCCTTGGAAGCCAAAGAACAAGAAGATGGAGTTAAGACTTACGAGAGCCCACTATCTTACAAATCTGCATGTGATAGAGGGAAACTTTGCTCAAGTCATTAGTTCACGAGCTTTAATAGTATTTTCATGAGGCCATGATGCTTAGACAGCATCATTGGAGTTTTAATCTGATACAGCATCATTGGAGTTTTAATCTGATCAACAAATCAATTAAGCCCTTGTTTGAGCTCCATTATTTGAGAAAAATTGATTTTGGAATAGTATTTTTTGAAGAATGTGTGATTAAAAAGAGAGGAGAATTTCTGGGTTTGTGTAATATTATTGTATTGAGAGAATGTTTGGTTGATAAGAGGGAAGAGAAAAATGAATTAAAGTTTAATGGGAGCCAAACTTGGGCTAAGTTTAGTCATCCATCAATCAATTATGAGCTTCCTCTTTTATGTCATCGTTTTCTAATTCCATAACAGGAACATTTCCCTGCACTTTAAGGGCCAAAAATGTACTCTCAAAGGGCATTTACCTTAAACTACAACCTGGTCAACTGGGGCCCAAGATAAATGAATGCATTTGTTCATGTGCTTGTTTTTTTGTTCTTGGGTGTGAACGAGTAAATTGAGGACAAGGTTAGCTCCTCCAAAATTAAGATATAATGTTCTTGTTCATACTTGTAACTGAGTGTTTTCAACACCCAACATTAATTAGTAACCACATCTATACCATTAAGACAGCAGAATTTTGCTGCACAAAAATTCTCAGTATAGCTGATCTTAACCAGATAATTATCACTGCACAAATTTCTACGAGTAACCAAAGGATTTCCAGTTCTCCATGTTCAGTCATAATTGTCACGGCAATAAATTATGACTTTATGGCACTTATTTTGAATAAAAAAATTCCAAATAAAGAACAATTAATTTAGGATATTAGGATTTATTATCTACAAGAAGATTGGATATGGATGGTTAATTTACTGCTACAGAAGGATAGTGTTGCACTTACCATGGAAATTACTTTGCGATACGGTCCATCAGAGGTAGCATTTGACGAGTTCCTCAATTCAGAATTTATCCCATTTAGAACATCATAAGATGCTTTCCTACCTTCTTCATCAGACTGAATGAAAACATGTAAATTTGAGTATCACACTATCACTAATTGACATTTACTGTAATATGATTGACCAAAACAAAAACAGTGCAGATATCCTACAAAGTGCATAATATAATGCCTTTTGATGCACACAAAGCACATGGTTCGGGCAACTGCTATGTCTATTGTTCTCACAATTTACGTTATAACAGTTTGCATGACAGAAAGATGAAAAAGTGGGCGTATTTAGACATGTATTACTGAATCTAAATAACCCCATAAAATTGCCAAACAAACATGATCAAGACCATACATGACAGTGGAAATAATAGTGCACCTCAAATAGTAACTTGGCTAGTCAAGTGTTCCAGACGCCTTTATAAGATTATGCTGAAAACTATTTGCAGAAATCTATAGGCTGTCAATTCAATTCTACCCTTCACACAGCTAACTTCCAACTTACAAGCTAGTGCTTCTATAACCCATTTAGGAAACATGAGGCTGGACAATAATCAAGAAAATGAAGGTTTGACATAAAGCCCACCCAAAAATAAAATAAAATCCTCCTAACAAGCTTGCTGAATAAGAAAAATAATTTTACAATGAGAGCTCCATTTGAAGATTTGAGCATGATAAAAGAGCTTCACATTTCTTGCTTTGATATCCAGGAAGGACCCAGAACCAACCACTATAAATTGCATCCTGGAATTAGATTTTATTACTGACGTATTAAACTCGTCTAGCATCTTTGACTCCCACTGTTAAATGTACAAAAGAACAAAGTTCATATGCATACCCATCATACCATTAAGCATCATACTAATATCATGATGTAAGCTTGTAAGAAGTTTAATACTCAACAAAGAATAATAATTAACTTCAGACGATCTCAATGTCAAATATCAGGAGTAGTTCTTACATCTTTCAATGCAAGTATGATTTCATTCAGAATAAGGAAAGCCTTTGTGTTGTCCTCATCCACATTGCTCTGCGTAATATGAAAACGTATTTAGCTTCAAACAAAAGAATATTAGATGGAAAAAAGGCAGTATTTACACATTTATAGAAATGACTTCCTCTTAACACTAGTGCAGAGTTCAACTAGGAGTCGAGTATATGACAACAGATTCCAAACAAACTTCATCTAGTATTACATGTCTAAAAAATTCTGGACAATAGTCTTAAAATTAATAAATGTCGAAAATAGTAGGCCTACCATTATTGCATGAACCAACAAGATCCGGAAGCAGGCAAAACGACTTTTAAGTGATGTAATATTACTCTTCATGCCAATTAACAAATCTGTTACTTCAACAAAATGTGAAGATCGGAACCATGAATGTTTCTGCACACAATAACAAAACCACAAATGAGAGACAAGCATATAAGAAGTATGTTCTTCCAGAAAAGGACAAATGATACCTCTAATATTCTGCTCAGAGTTTGATATGCTTCAACATGGCCAACCTCACCAGTTGCCTAAAAACCAGAATTTCATATACATTGGGGATCATACCAGCATTCTTAATCATAAAGTGAATGATGTGGAACAGCATACCTGTAAAGCACGTCTAATAACGGAATAGATTAGCTTGACTAGATCTTCACTGGATCCATCAACAAAGCATGATGCAAGATCCAGAATCCGACACCTTCATGAAAGATAGACATGACAAATGTGATTGTAAGATCTGAATATACATGTGGCATATAATCATCAGGACAAAAAATGACAGGCACATTTTATTCATCATTTTTTCAAGACGAAATTTAACTCGTACCTATTGGCATCTTTTTTTATTGAAGTTGCATCACTGTCTTCTACATCTGCTGAGCCATTAGTCCCAGACTCCAGTTTTCCACGTTCACAGATATCTTCTATGAGCTGAAATTTCTCGAGTGAAGCAATAAAGATCTGTGTTGTTACTGAAGAATCAGTTATGGATGCAAAGCATTCAATTGCGCCCTGAAAGTTACGAAAAGAAAAGATCATTTTGATAAATGCCAACAATCTCTGTCCTTCAGATACTACTGATAAAACTTCATGCAAAATAGGTCAACAATAAAAACGAAACCATAAAACATAAGCACTCTCAAACAAGCACACAAGTAATGACATAAATCTAGCAGGTTTTCGGAAAATGAAATGAATGTAGGAGCAGTTTACATTGCTTTCCAAATTGTAAGTCCAACAACATCAGAATGGGCATACAATTAAGGTTATATTGTAGAAAACTTCACATCTACTTGCTTGAAACTGACATCAAACAGAAGGTTCTCAAAATATAAACCTAAATCAAGTGTTGAAATTATGTCAAAGAAGCAAGGAAGAAAGATGTGACGAAATATACATAGTAAAAATGAAGGATAAAGAGATCAACTAATATTGCTGTACAAAGAAGGCAACAGGGAAACTGTGCAGTATGAATAAGCACAGAAATGGACAGCAACAACTTTCTCCTTAAGACAAATAAACAAATTGTGAAAGACCTTCAGATGTCTGTGCTTGTCTGGATGTGTCTTAAACAAGACATTAGTTAAAGCCTGAAGCAACTCTTTGGAGCCCGAAGCCAAAGCCTTTATATTTCTACTTGCTGTCCTTTTCGAGTAAAAATGTCTACTTTTAAGATCCACCGCAATACTTTCAGCGAGTCCTGTGTTTTGAACTTTTGTCTGCCCTTCAGAACCATGATCAGACGTAAGTGCACTTTTATTTTGATTGACTAGTTCCTAAATGAGGAGACACAGAACACTGAGTAAGATTAACAGGTAAATTAGCTGAGAACGAACATCAGGCAAGCAACAAGACTTGGAAAAATAAACATCAAGTTTGATTGATTTTAACCCTACCTGCAAACTAATGACAATATCTTCAAGCATGGATGAGTCTTTCTTGAGAAAAGGAATCAGAAGTTTAGCCAAAGCTCCAAAATTCTGACTAGTATCAATTGGTTTGCAACAGAAGGCAGGCAACAATTCCCAACATCCACGGGCATAAGCCTGCAGATCTTGGCCAATTACTGTCTTTTTAACTGGAAAGGAGCACAAATTTAAATTCCAGATATAGTAGAAATATGAGTACTACAAAGCTTAAGCATGCACTACGGCAAAATACACAGACAAGAGAAAAAATTATAATTCAAGTATTATATACACAATTATTCCTGATTCACATTACACAATTTAAAATAGAGCGTCTGTGGAATATTTAGATATATAGGCAAATGTAATCAGTACATCAACCGAACATTTCTCGTGTATACTTACAACAATAGACAGGAAGCTGCTAAATAAAAACATTTCCAATAAAGAGCATATTTTCCAATATAAAGAGCATCTTTAAGAAATTTCAAAAATAAAGCGTTTGTGTTTTTATACAAGTCCAACAACACACTATTTATTTTTTATTTTTTTAATAAGCAATTATTGCTCAACCTTTTCCCTCCTTTCATTTACATGCTTCCCTCCAAAAATATGCATAGAAAATTGAGAAACAGCGAATTAAATAATTAAAAGTTTTATATAGAGAGTTTTGCTATCTACATTTGGAGAATCAAGCTCACTATTTATTTTAATTTTCAGATAATAGAGTTTGTTGGACTCCTCAAAATGAGGATTCACTCTGGAGATGCTCTAAGGATTTTATATTTATCAGAACTAAACGGAAGTAAGGTGTACAAATTTTCCAAATTAGAAGCTCTTATCAAGCAGGAGAAAAAAAATTTACATTTTACCTGCTTCTAATAGTGACTATGCCTAACAATATTTTGTATTTGAAAGGTTGCAATCTTTCAAGGATTCTTTCAGTTATTGCACTAGACCAGTATTTTCAGGCAGAGTATCATTTCTATTAATCAATTTCAAGATAGAATGAAAACACTAGAAAGGATCAAATAAAAAAAAATTAACAAAGTAAAAATTGACAACTATCATATGCAGTATAAGGTCCTTCATTGATAAAGATGTATAGAAGCTTTCTTTATCTTATTATCTATGGTGCCAGGCATTTGCTCAATCATATTAAGCGCATAAATCTTTTGGAAGATAAGAAGAAATATTACTTCCACCTAGCATTATTGCAATCTTTCTTTTTTATTAAACCATTCTAAGAAAGTGTGGTCACAAAGGATTAGTTTCTTTGATGATGTAACAATGAACCTAATGGAAGCCTACGTGATGACTCAAATCAAGGTTCATTAACTAAATGAAATTGACAACCAGAAAATTTGGGGAAAAGCACAGAGTTATTTTTTTAGCAGATACCTTTACATGATGCCTTTTGGAAGGATTCAGCCAGAGGTATAATATGGGACATGAAGAACCCCAAGGACGACCCGACAATATTTTTCTTCAAAATAGGTATCAGCCAAGTATTTGAACAAGAAAGATCCTTTGCACCGAGCGAGATAGGAAGCAATCCAATTAATTTCTCTGGCCCCATAGCAACAATGGCAGATCCAATGCAATCTTGAAGCTGTAATAATAAGACGAGAACCATTGCATCTCAATGAAACCAGCTGGTGAAGTTCGGTTTTTTATCCACAACATAAAACGTGTGCAGTATATTGGCAATGAAGATTACTTTACAAGAACGATCAGTCTCACGCATTACAGAAGACCCAAAGTGAAAGATCAAGAGTAAATCTATTCAAAAGGCATGTTATTCTCTATTTTACAATCCATGAGAAAATTATATGCCAACATGTATATAAATCAAGATTCACAAGTACAAGTTAGAAATATAGAATGGATCACAATTGACTAGCTGCAAGTGATTCAAAAAACATTGGGAAAACATGACAGTAGTCACACGCATAGAGAGAGAGAGAGAGAGAGAGAGAGAGAGAGAGGGGGCTTCCATGAATACTCACATGTTCTATATCTAATGCACTTCCAGATGCAACATTCATCAAGTCAGCAAGTTTAAGAACTATATCCTTCGTAAACATGTCTGAGATCTCACCTACAATCACAATGGCAAATGGTTGAAACAAGTCTATAAACAATGATAACCATTTTAAAACATAATAATCCCGGTGTCTCGGATAGACATGTTACCAATTTGTGTAGGATAACGGGAAAATAATGCAGAGAAAAATGGAACTTTACAAGGATTACAGTTCATAAGAACTTATGGTCCACGAAGAAACTATGATTAATTGTATGAGGATCACCTAATGCACATGTTACAAGTAACCAGTGTCAATGATTACCAATGAACCTTGTCCTTCTTGGGCAGACAGATAACAAAGCCTTGTATATTTCTAATCACTGAAGCTTTGAAACACATTAATGATTAACACAATCAACCTGCATGCTAGAAGCTTAGTAAAATGGCATAACGGAAAACCCAACTGCAGGTAACAGGCCACTACAAGACTTGACTTCAGATTGTGAAAAAATAAAGAAATTCCTTTCTTTTTCTCATAATAAGTTGAGACAGAAAAATTTAACTCGTTTGTTTAGGATGCAAGCAAATTTTTCAAGGTTAGAATTTTTAGGTGTGATATACGACTAAATAAAGAATGCATTTTCTACCAGACTACCACGTACATATGCCTCTCAATGTCGTAGCCAAATCGGGTATTAAGTATTAGCTATCTTCACACTCAATGGACAATAAGTAGATAAAATATCCTTTCCAGTCATAACTATGCAAAGAAATTCCCTGGAAAAAATTACCCAGAATCCAGTCATAGGATAAATTTACAGGGGTCTTATGGAAAACCTTATGTCCACTCACCAAGTTTGAGGAACAAAAAGGATATTGCTGCCAAAAAGTGCTCATTTGGAAAACAAGAGGAAGTACTTAGTGCATTATAGAAGACTGCACACGTAGTTTTTATAGCCTCAAATTCGTCACTGTGGATTACTTCATCTTCTATTCCCTGGTTTTTGATGGTTGAGAAGTGTTTGCCATCAATAAGGCAGTTTATCAGTTCTTTGAATATATTGGAAGCCTTTAAAGCAGTATCAGCCTCAGCAGACAGAAGACCTGACATTATATGTGCTTAGTTAGTAATGAAAATGTGGCAGTAGAAATACATGAAGCTGCCTAAGATATGAAAATGAAAAGCTTGTTCCCACCCCCAAAGCCCACACATATACCCAGTTAGCAAGAAAGATGAGCAAATACCTGAAATGGATTCAGTTACCATAGGTAGATAAACCGTCCATTCTTTTACATCACCATCTTGAAGTTTGCACAAAACAGTTTTGACCAAAGTTGCAGCAAACAATGAAGTGTCAGCTGGGTTCTTGTCTCCCAGAGATATGTAGGATACAAGCAAATTAATGATATCTTCAGCACAAGGAAGTATAACATCAGTTCCTGAAGTTTCAAATATCACAGAAATAACATCAAAGATGTGTCTTGTCAATGCTGAAAACTGAGGGCTCATAGTCTTCGATAATTGTGAAAGAACTTTGCTGCGCATCTTGACAGAGAGATATGGAACCACGTGTTTTATCACATTCAGCAAATGAAGAACTTCTTGACATTCGGGCCTTGACATGGTATCATCTTTAAATCCATCTACACTCTTTGAAACAGTCATTTTGATGGCCAAACTCATGTGCTCATTAAGCAGTGAGTAAACTGATTTACTTGCCTTCTTGATCGCAGCAGACGATTCAAATGACTTGAAAACCGTCAAAACACAATCTTGAGCACATTTCCTCACCTGAAATACAAAAAATTTACACAAACAGATAACTATTAGGAAACTTAATCACGAGTTAGTTTCAACCATGATTCCAGCAGATTTTATAAAAGAACCTTGAAAACCAAAAAAGGACAAGCGATCATACTGTTGTTTTAGTTAAAGTGATTCCAGTTACTCTTATCCAACAATTCCATAATTACATTTGAAAAGAAGTCAAAATTCCTATGCCATTTGGCTTGCAATGCTACTTGAAGTAAGAAAGAAACCACAGAATTATAACATCGCCAGCTAAGATATCCATCAATAGTAATCCACAAAGGCATAAAGCCATAAACCTTGATTCGTTCAAAGCATTTATTGACATGTGTATCTACGTTGACCAATATGTAAAAATACAAAATTGAATATACTTTCGTAAGTAAGTATAATTAGGAAAACCTTCGGGCGCTTATCAAGAGAGAGTTTTAGGAGCCACTCCAAACCGAGCTTCACTGAGTTCCAATCGTTTGAATCGCAAAATTCGGCAGCCAATACACCGACACATTTCACCACTGCCCTGACGCTTGAAGTCCCCAAACTACCGTTACTTCCCTCCACTATTTCGACCAAAAACCCAACAGCCTCTGCCGCTTTCTCCTCCTTAATCTCGCCTTTATGAACGAGAGGAAGCACGATGGATAAGAAAGAGGTTAAGGCAGCCAAAGCGGTGGAGTCTAGGGACTTCGAATTGGAGAGAGAAGTAATTGTTGCTGCAAAGTAGGAGACTGGGGTGAGGGGGAGTTCAGAAGATTGAATGATGGATCGGATGGCGGCAGCGGTGGCGCATAGATGGCGGTGTTGCGGAGCGGTTGAGTGGGCGTACCGGTCTAGGAGTTGTTGGCATATGTCCGAGTTTCCAGTGAAGGATGTAGTTGTTTCTGCAAGGTCTTGATGGTCTTCGTCCATTGAAAAGTGATGCTAGCGGCGGAGGGCTTTTCTGCGTGATTACAGCCGGCGGTGCTCTGGTGGTGTAAATAAATTTTAATTTCGAGGAAGGGTTTATGGAGGGTTTGGCCGCTTGGTATATGCAGCGTAGGGTTTCGTATTACCAGAAGACCATAGCATTAAGTGATTGTACGTAGCCGGTAGCATCAGTTTATAGTTTTTTGTGGTACAACTGTAATTTAATGGGTCAGCAAATATTGTAGATTTTGTGAAGCCCAAAACAATCAGTGTCCAATTGGTAGTGCTACAGGGCTTCAGGTCTGCCTACCAATACTGGGCCAAAGCTCTATCAGTAGACAAATGGGGTAGTTACAAAAATACCCTTAAAATTAGGGATGTTTTGAAAAATCATATGAAAAGTTTTTAGGAAGTAAGAAATGCTATATAAAATGAAAAAATGACACAATGTCACTTTTTTTTATATAAACATTGTCACTTTTTACTTTTTTTAAAAAAATGATATAAACTCAAAAAAAGTGGCAAATACAAAAATAGCACCATCCATTTGTGCAGCACCAATAATCATATTCTTAAAAAAAGTTATACTGAAAAAGTGATCAATTGTCACTTTTTAAAGTTAAGTGTCACTTTTTTAATAAAAAATGACATGAAATGTCACTTTTATTGAATATTGATGTTGGTCACTAAAAAGTGATAGAAATTAAGAAAGTGACTGAAAAAAATAATAAACATTAAAAAAAGTGACAAAATTAAAAAAAGTGACGGGAAAAAAAAGGACACTGAAAAGCAATGTTCTAAATAGCGTAAAGCGTAGCGTAGCGTAGCGTCGAGGTCGAGAATCAAGAATCACAAGTTTAAGAGTGTCAATACGAAGAATAAACGTTATAATGCGTCTCGTATTTTTAATATTATTTTAATTATTTTTAAAACATTAAATATATTTTTATATAAAAAATAGATTTTTTTTAAAGGGAAAAATTGGGGGGATAAGGAGCGCTTAAGCGCGCTATAGCGAGATAAGGAGCGCTTAAGCACACTTATGCGACGCTTAAGTGCGCTATAGCGGTCAACAAAAAAGGTTGACCGCTTTTTTACGCGAATACCTCGAAGCGGGGCGTTTTCGCCGCGCTACGCGCTTTAGCACGCTATAGCGGCGCTATTTCCCGCTATTTACAACACTGCTGAAAAGTGACCATTACTTTTTAAAGTTAATTGTCACTTTTTTATTAAAAAGTGATGTTTGCCACTAAAAAAAGTGATAGAAATCAAGAAGGTGATTGAAAAAAATGATAAATACTAAAAAAAGTGACAATTCAAAAAAGTGACACTGAAAAGTGACCAACTATCACTTTTAAAAGTTAAGTGTCATTTTTTTATTAAAAAATGCATTCAATGTCACTTTTATTGAAAATTGATGTTTGTCACTAAAAAAAAAGTGGTAGAAATCAAGAAAGTGATTGAAAAAAGTGATAAACACTAAAAAAAAGTGACAAATTCAAAAAAGTGGCACAAATTAAAAGAAGTTATACAGATTTAAAAAGTGACAATACTCAAAAGTGACATTACTATTTCCTAGTATTAGTCCCCTACTCATAACATCGCCATGGTAGAATTATAAAAACCAGCACAAATATCAAACCATGATTTTCCCACTTTGCTCTTGTGTAATTACCCACAATACATGCAAGAAAGCCTCAAGCAGGCAGAATGTCAATGCTATCAGTAGCTTACACAGATTAAAAGATATATAAGAATACTAAAATTTTCAAGTGCACCAATTATAACATTCTTAACGTAATCAACCACCTACAACTGTACCAATTCCAACTTAACCAATCAGCTACCTCAAGTCCCACTACCATAGCCTCCGCCAAATCTAGTAGCAAGTCCATCCCATCCACAAGCATTGCATCTTCACCACCAGCGCTTCCTCTAGCTGTATTAAATCCAAAAAAAAAAATAAGGATAAAAACTACATAGAATACACATCAACATATATATAACAGAAAATTGAAAATTGGCCCTAAAAACAAACCTTTGCAATTCTCTCTAAAATCCATAATCAAGTTCAAAGACAATGAAAAAATATATCCACCTAGCACTTCATTTCCATCTTAATCTATCCTCAAAAACCCAGTACTAGTGGAATAATATTTAATAAATACATTTATTTTAACTTACCTTTTCTTCAATTTTCTTTCCATTTCTAGCTGGCAGATTTTTTTTTAAATTAAAGAAACATAAGCAATTCCTTAACCAATTAAATCGGACCCGACTTGCAAACAAATTTATTTTATATAATCCTACCAACATGTTGGGTTCAAGTCAATCGCAGTAACTCAGACACAATCAAGAACCGGTAGACGGATGGTCTTAAATTGGTCGGGTCGTCTCATGGGCGGAAGGGCATGGGAGCGAGGGAGCCCAGCCGCCCCTACAACTTTTTAAATTTTTTTTCCCACAGATTTTTTTTAATGTATACTTAATATTCAAGGAAAACCCATTTAACACGAAAGGATAAAGGAAAAAAAATGAAGTTAGCGGCGATCATATTGACGTTGAATACGGCAAGAATATTGGAAGACGGATAGGAGAACGAAAAGGCTTTAGGTTCTTTTTTTGGAACCGGGAGAAGGAAAAGGCACTGGCGGCAACGGTGACGGAAACCGGAATTTTGGCGAGTTTCGTCGCCGATACAAAGAGTGCCACAAGTGTCATTTCCGTAAATATTCGAAGTTGAAACTGGAAGTAGGTAATGGGTTGGAGGTGAGGTGGTGGTGGTGGTGGCGGCGGCGGCGTATTTGAGGTGTGGTGTCAATGTGGAGCGGGGTGATGTGAGGTGTGGGAGATGAAGAGTTTTAGTTAATAGTTTAGATTATGACGTAATTATTACTTGATTAAAATATTTAATTAGTTTAAAAGGTATTAATCAAAATACTTATTTTAATAGGGCAACCAGCCTAATTTTCCCTAGACAAAATATGTACGGAAAATTCATATAACCTCAATATAATATAAAATTCCACACTTTACTATGTAATGGTAAATATAATTACAAATGCTAATCATAATGATAATTATCTATAGAAATAATAACTTCTATAATTGTATCTCACACTATATTCTGTAACTGATAAATTTTGAATAAGCAAATATCACACTTTCAATTAATGAATCTTCTCAATCAGAGATAAGTTTAATATTAAAGTGGGAGAGATGCACACATATGTGGCAGACAACATAAGATGAATCCTCATCTTCCAATTGTATTGATCAAGACATACCTCTTCGGTGGTAGTCGTTGGAGAAATTTT